AATGTGTTAACGGAGACCCCTGAAAAAGTACAAGGATATTAAGACCAGGTGTTCGAAAGGAGTAAGCGTCCCGTGCTTCATCGACGACACCCAGCGCGTTGAAACGTTTTGTGAATATTGATGGCCATGAGATTGATTTCAAGTTTTTTGAGATCCCAGCAGGTCACCACAGCTGCTACCAAACTTGAGAAGAAAACGTTTGTGATACTTACAAGTTTATTGTGAGAGCGCGTCCTTGATAATCCCTAATCACCAATGGATATCCAAAATACTGATTCTTCCTATTGCTAGGATGTAAAATCCAAGCATGAAAAACCCGATACGAATATTGATTTCCTGGAGAAGTGGAACCTAAAACTAAATTAAACCAAAGTTTATTTCTTTCCTGGGGATAGGGTAACCGATGATATTCAGTCAGTGCAATTAACCGATTCCGAAAATAATTGCCTACCAACATGAACGAAAAAAATGGACCAACATAACTTTTTTGTCCGCGCGTTTCAGTATATTATGTAGATATACCCGAATGATTGATTTTGTAACAGCTGTGTCATCCAAAGTCAGATGGGTTTTCCCGGTAGAATAATTCCAGAAAGAAATATGAAGAGACACAATTGAATATTATATCAATTCAAATTTAATATTAGACAAAGCACAGGTCGAGACGCATCATACAGCTATTTTGTCTTTTAAGGCACTAAAATGTGGAAATTATATGGGGAGGTTAGGACAACGAAATTGAAAAACGATCGACAATTACGTTATATAATATAGATGGGATGGGGAAATGTGCTAATCCAGCCATTCATTAAATTTGGAACATTGTAAAAATACAATTGAATGAAACAATCTGATGCCTGATGAGCAAACACGAACATACATGCACATGAGGCCCACTTGAAATAACCCTAGCTGTTGATATTAAACAATTAAAACGGAAACCAAATCATAATAATCATCATACCGTTGCAATCGTATATTTCTTGTTGAAAGCATTTATCTAAAACTATTGGCAAAAATGAAAATAGAAAAAGCAAATAAAAGATGGAAATAAATGAAAAAAAAGTAAAATGTATTTAATGTTAAAAATATATCGGAGTCACAAAACACGATTTTTAACATTCTTGCAGAATGTTCACCAATCCATCGAGTTTTGAAAAAAAAATTAAATTGCACTAAAAATTTAATTATTGTCTTGTAACGGTTCTTATAACACAACTCGTAAAAGATAAGAGTGTGTCGTTTCGAAGGCTACATCACCTCCATCTGACAAATGACCAGTATAGAGCGTATAAGCGCTGACGTACGTAGTGTACGAGTTGGTACGGAAATCGATCCTTTGTACACTAAGGTCGAAAATAGTGTGACGAAATGGTAAACAGATTATAGACAAACAAATACACCAGATGTAAACAATGTACTATAGTCAATTCGGCTACGCTTTGTTTAACACTTGGTCAGAGATGTGGGAAAGTCTATGCCCCCTCTCGTCCCTGTTAAGTACTTGCCCGCTGCGACGTATCCAGGTGACTTCCGTAACCAACCGCCTGAAAAGGTTGTTTTCCTTATCGACTATTTTGGAATATTGCCAGTCCATGACATGGTTTGCTGTGTGGAATGACATATATGTGCACATTATGCGACGTGAACTTTCTGGATTGCTCAATCAGGGTATCCACATGCTTTCATGGCACTGTGGATGTGATTTTTTCTTCCTTCTTGTCTTGTTCCTCTGTGGCAATCGTTTCACATCCAATCTCTGGTGTGAGGGTGGTACGGTCGGATTGAGGTATTGGTCAGTCTGCGTCTTTTTTCCTATAGACCAATACTTTGATAGTACCGTCACCTTTCTTTACTAGGAGGATCTCAAGGAATGGCATATCACCATTTCTTCCTCACCGGTGAATTGGACGCTATTGGTAGTATCTACGGTATTGATATGCTCTGTCAAATCTTTCTGTGACCCTTTTTTCTATTTCGATCCGCTTCAACAGACTGGACTTGCCTTCTACCGGGGTCCTGGCTATAGCCTCCTTCCATTATCAAGATAAGCAAAGCATGACATTATCCCCCGCGCCCCGCTGTTTAAAATAAAGACACAGTATATATTAGTATTACAACAAGTATAATTTCTATTTGTTAGTTTTAGTTGTTCCACACAAAGTATTGAAATGGAGAACTTCTGCTAGAGTACTAGCTTGATACCTGTACAAAGTTTTGAGTAATTGGTAATACCCTTGAACAGCTTAAGAGGACTGGTCTGAAAAAGAACTCTGTGATTTGGCAGATCTGTTTTCATGGTAACAAAAAAGCATTTAAATGGAGAACTTCCCCACAGCAAAAAATGCTACTAGCTTAATAAATGTAAAAAAACTTGAGCAAATATCTTGAACGGGTTCAGAGTACTGGTCCAGAAAAACTGAAATTTGTGATGAAAGTTATCTGTTTCCATGGTAATAAAAAAATAGCTAGGGCACTGACCTATTATATACAGACAGTTTTGTGGAGTTGTTTCGAAGTTGTAGTCCGAAAGAAAAAAGTTGACACTTATTTTGTGGGGGTTTATGTTTCCATGGTAATAGAAACGTAATAAATAAAATGTCGTCAATAGCAAAAGGCACAACTAGTACACTAACGTGATATACGCAGCATGTTTTGTGAAGTTGAGACGAACGGTTTTGAAGCCCAGAAAAGTCCTCGGACGGACGGAAGATGGAGCCGAAATAAATATCCCCCGCAAACGCGTTTCGCGGAGGATAAATATGTTGGCCACAATCGGAGACACTAGCCTACCCTCTGTGTCAAACCGTTGCTGATTGATGGTATCTCGGAAGGCAAAGTAGGTTGATGTAGGCACACATTCTAGTAAATCCATAAGGTCTTGGATATGGGGATTGGTGTCCTATCGCCATGACCGGTCTTGCTCTAGGCGGCTCCAAATAATACCAAGTGCTGTTCAGTGGGTGTGTTGGTGAAAAGATTCACTGCATCGTGTGAAATGAATTCCTGATCGGTTGGGATACCCACTGTAGCCATACTTTCTCCAGGTCTTTCGAGTTTTTGACATGATGTTCCGATTTCCCCACCAAGGGTCCGAGAATGTCTGGTAGTGACACGGAGACATTGTAACCAATGGAACAAGTATAGTCATCTGTAGGCCGTAATGGATTATCTTCTTTGTGGGGTTTGGATGTGCAGTGCATTCTACGTGTGTTCTCTGCAGTGGGATACACGTGTCTATATTGTGATTTGGTGGTTTTATTTTTCTTGTTTTAATTTCTATACCATTGCTATCAGAGGCTTTTTGAACTTTTGGGTGGGGTTGTTCTTGAGATTTTCATTTGTTTTGTTGTCTTCTAGCATACCCTCGACTTGCTTTCGTATTCGTCGGTGTCCATGACGAATGTGGGTTTCCTTTTGTCTGATGATAAAATCATGATAGACCTGTCCTTGCTCAATTGTTTGAGTGCCATGTATTCTTCCTTTGATTTGTTGCTGGCTGGTTATTTAGTAGATAATAAGACAACTGTCACATGCGATTTCAGTTGATCAGACTCAGAGTTACATACCTGTTCTGTGACTACACTAAAATCTCAACGGGAGTTTTGTCTGGGAAGGTGGTATAATTAAACACCTTAGCTAGTAGTGTTTTGTCTCTATCTGTGAGCTGTTTGTTTGATATCTTAATTGCCCATTTATTTCGCATGGTTTGATTAAAATCGCCATCTGTTTTTGTGTTGTTATTGGTATATTTCTTTATTAGAAGTTTCAGCTTCTTAAAACGGCGTTCTTTGTTCGTGTTGAACGCCGTTTCCCCCATGTACTTTGTGTTCATTTCCTTGAGAGCGATGAGTAGCGTTTTCTCGCTTTTTAATGTGTCAATTCTCTCACTAGATCTTTCTGCACTTTGCTAACGATCTTTCGAGCATTGATGGTATTAATCGGGCATCTGATATTGAGACTTCAAGGTGTTATGTCTAAGTCCTCATATCGCAATGTAAACGATGTGATTTCTATGCCTGGCTATTGTTTTCCAAAGCTCTCGAGCTTTCGCACATCTTTGACAACAACTTGTCCATACTTAGCTCGGATATTTTGGATCCTGTTTAAAAACATTGTACTGTAAGGATTTAAGCATACAATGTATCTAATAAACATTAATTTTCTAGCTCCCATTCTAAACACAGAAAAAAGTGAATGCACACCATACTTTCCCAATTTAAGAATATTATAAAACTACATTATTTCAGATGTGTTCTTCCATGGAACTTGGACGGGTCTCAAAGCTGTACAAAGAGTATCCATTAACTGGTACTCGGAGACCCTGCTTCAAAATTTAACTTTGTTGACAGGGCGATAAACCTACAAATATAGATGTATAAGTGATTAATATCTTTTTATGATTTGTTCCTTATCATAACCTTATGATTGATCTGCCAACAATAAAAACAGGTCCTTTGTTTTCTTTTCCACCTTTATTACCTTTTTAGGCAGTTAAACGTTAAACCTCGTAAAATCAATTCAAAACATTTGATACATTTGATACTTCAAAACATTACTTCATTGAATTTTCTAAGGATACATACCATACAACCAGTCAAGACACATCGGTAGAAAATATATTCGGAACGTACATTATTTTCACCTGAGTCAAACCTGAATCATATCACCAGACAGGTCGTTCATCTTCTCACAAGGATAACTTTACTCAGACTTCATTGAATCTAACGACGATTTTCATTCGCTGTAATTAGAAGACGATAATCATCTGACGATGAACCATCGATGCATTATAAAGGTGGCCCCAAAACAAGAAAAATCAGTCCACTTCTTGGTCTGTACAGATCGGCTTCTACAGGGGATGAACGAAGATCTCAGCTTCATTTTCCGGTGATTTATATAGCCACTGGTGTATACTGTAAATTTAGCTAAAGTCAGTAGTGTAAGTTTACTTGGACGGAGTTTCCTTATTAAGTCATTAATTCATCAGACACCTAGCTATGATTTCGTTAACGTTGGTGTACTTTATATCAGCTATTTTTGTTACGACTGTGAACAGCTACCCGCAGGGAGCTCCCACGCAAACAGAGGCGTGCGTCAATCTTCAGCCCGTCCACAGGGAGCGACAGACACAGCAACGTATCCCTAACCGACAAGAAAAGGCACCATATAGAGTTCTGTTATCTCAACAGTATTACGTGGCGTGCCAGAACCTGGCTATATGTCAACAGAGACCAATACAAGGTAGGCATATCCAAACAGACGCAACACTGTTTTACACAATACAACACGAATTATATCATTGTTATGTTTCAAAGATACTACATCGAACGAGTGCTGATGTAAAATACAAAAATGTGGTCAAATATCGAGAAAGAACGATACAAATATCTGACATTAAAAAATTCAGCCAACATTACTAGAATTAAAATGTCTAATTACCAACGAAGAAATTTCAAGAATTTATCTACATGTGTATCTTCTTCACCATAACGAAGTTATTTAGTACTTGCAATTCGAGCCAAGCAATGAAACTTATAAGACTGGGTAATTCGATGACATTGAAAACCACAATGTTCAGAATGGGAGAAAGAAGACAATGTGTATGTTTCTATGACAGGAGGATAAACGGAGGCTAAATTATTCTAATAAAATTACATCCGACAACGTTATTTTGACAACAGTCTAATTTATGTCACAGTGATGCATGCTGTCACAGGGCATAGAATTCTGGAAAAATTACAATGAAATTACTTTTTCATAAAGAACCGAGAATGCACTATTAAAGGAAGGTAATATTGATATTGCAGTGTTGATGATAACACATAGCTTCATTGATAACTAGAGCAAGGTTATTTCGATAGTCTGAATCTGTCGCATTGATATATGGCAAGCAATGATGTCTTGACAAGACAATATATACATATTATCTTTTGAAGCTTCACATGATACATATCAGGGTTATTTTAATCATTCAATGTTGATAATGATAATTCAGACTGTCACAGGTTGGCAGCATTTATGTCTACAAATCTTTAACAGGTAATAATTCTCTTGTGAAAATGTGTCGAAAAAGATTCACTTGAATATGCTAGCTTGAAGGAGATACCGTTACTTTCTGAGAGAGTCAACTATACGGATAGGTCACGTATGATACGTGGCTGACAATATTGCTTAAAAATGTCATAGAATTCTGGTAAAACTACAATGAAATTTCTTTTTCCTAAACAACCAAGAATGCAATATTATTATTTTCATCGTGTTTTGATTACTCCCCTCCTCCTCTCCCAAAGTGTTCCATTCAGCTTAATTATGTTTTAATCTTATTTTTGCATATTTATCAAGTTAAAGTTTTCCGAATCACGTAAATTTGGCAAGTAATGCGTATATTGGGACTTCAAATAAATTAGAACTGTTATAAAGGTATATTACACATGATTAATTACATATTAGTACAGAGGAAGCACCTTACCAGTGCAATAAAATCATACAGAGCCACATACCGCGTAAACAAACCTATTTCTCATAGCCACCTATTGACTTCTTCATAAACATGACCTTACACGATATACAACGTGTCAGTGGGCTGATGTCCTAAGGCGTCTACCACATCTAGCACTAATGAAAAATATGTGTATAATATTTATCCTTCATTCAAGTTCTACACGTATATCATATATCAGTTATTTTATAATCAAAGTTCATATATATATATATATATATATTAGTATAGAAAATGAAAAACACAGACATCTTTATAATATCGTACATGAAACTTCAAATCAGGTAAATGAAAGCTGTACCTAACAAAAGTATCATGAGAATGAAAGGTGGTTTTCTTTTGATCCATCAAGGAAGCTTACCATATAAATGCCCAGTGTCAGTATGTTTGATGCCGCCAGGTGTTGACATCCATCATGAGAAAGATTTGCAACAATCTATCTGAAATATACTCGAACACATAAAGACCATATATGTTTGGGAAGCAGGAATGCTACTATCTAGACATAGGCTATTCAAGAAAGGACATTTTCATTATCGTGCTGAACATAGAGCTAAAGATAACAAAAAATGTCCATGTTTGTTACGCTGCTAGTGAAAGTGTTTGGAGGGAACATACCAAAGCTTATTAACGATTTACTGTTAGCGTCACACGAAACTGTAACGTCCCCATTTGTTACCGAGATGGTATCTAAGATATTATCAATAGTCGTTCTTTCTGTCCATCCTTTAATATAATTGCTATCTTGCAGTATAATATTATCAATAGTCGTTCTTTCTGTCCATCCTTTAATATAATTGCTATCTTGCAGTATAATGGAGAAATCTAGATTTGAGATTTGAACATTACATTTTCAACATATTGTGAAAATAACAATTTACATCCCATTTAAAATTAAAAAATACGGCTGTTTTAAATTCTCAGACTTCGTAATTTTACTAACCACATGGTAGACATGTTCTAGTCGAAACATCAACTACGCTGATACTTAGTCTTCCAAAATTATATTTCAAACCTTTAAAACTATTATTTCCTTCCGTACTTTTTGGAGAGATTCTTAATAAAATGTTTCTGTTTCTTTTCAATATGAAACTGATCTGCTTCACAATCCACCTTTTACGCTTCGTTACCCAATTTTTTTCTACTTACTCCCAATGTGCTACTATAAAGGACAGTAAAATTATTCCGCGCACTGTTTATGTAGAAGACGACGACAATAAAGACGATACTTAAGCAATTAATGTTATCACACTCTGTGCTACCAAAGGTGTTATATATTGAGCTATATTTTATAGATCATTAACAAGACGGTTACACCAATTTCGTCATTGTTCAATAACAGAAAGAATAATTACACATAAAGAGATTCAAGTGTGGCATCAGTATATACTCCCGTGGAAGTGTTGGACCTATCTTCGTGCAAATCACCAGGGAAATCTTGTGTAGTTTTCTATTACATATATATTGTTCTATTGAGAGGTATAACTTTTGGAAACATGACTATTACTTTGGGCGAGCATCGCTCTTTAAGTAGGGATAGAAAACAATTAACAATTGTTTTACAAAACACTTACCTAGATAACACACTCTCTCTTACACACTCATACACAAGACTAATAACAAAACACTAACCTAGATAACACACTCTCTCTTACACACTCGTACACAAGACTAATAACAAAACACTAACCTAGATAACACACTCTCTCTTACACACTCGTACACAAGACTAATAACAAAACACTAACCTAGATAACACACTCTCTCTTACACACTCGTACACAAGACTAATAACAAAACACTTACCTAGATAACACACTCTCTCTTACACACTCGTACACAAGACTAATAACAAAATACTTACCTAGATAACACACTCTCTCTTACACACTCGTACACAATACTAATAAACAATGAGGTCATTTTAATTGACGCTCCACACAGGTATAAAGAACAGGTTCCCCAAACCATTAACAGTAAGTGTAAACTAAGCTGTTCACACAGGACTTCAAATACACACTCTTCCTTCTTGTAGAAGAATTAGTGATACCGCATTAGCTACCAATAAACAGACACGAAGCGAAGGTCTGCATCGCAGTTGCCATGTCGTCAAGACGGATGGTCATGGCTCTTGCCATACCTCCTCTTAAAACCCTGCCTTTCTAGCTGTGAAACAAGTGACCTCGGTACTATTGCTGCTGGATTACCGGTGAATAGTGGGGCTATATATGGTAGTAAGAGGCCCTCGGGTGGAGCTTAGATATAATTACAAATACTAAAGGGAAAAATATATATACAACGTGACAATGACTCAATTCCAATATCATATCATAATATCATAATTCCTTAAAAAACCGGAAATGTCCTTTTTCATCAAATAACGTATGATTAATACATTGCATTCGTTTATATATATAGAGGATGAATCTCGCTGCATGCTACAGCAGTCTACCTGATTATTAATACAGTTAATATAATACCTCATAAAATATTTGTATTTAATCCCACTCTCAATTAAATAACATTTCAGTAGCAGGCGATAATGACGAATTTCCTGGTCTGTAAATCATGTTTATATAATATAACATAAACAATAGCTCAAATTCAATTAAACATACTCGCCGAAACAAGTTTGTATATATCTATATGACTGTGTTAATTTTCGGGGTCGGTGACTGCCAGCGGGGTGGACCGATGGTCACATACAGAATATGGATAGTCTGATGATGTAACTTGATGGATTAAATGTCAGATTGGTAGATCAATAACCTCTCGGCGTAACTGGGTGATATATATATATATTTACCAGCCTGTTAAATGTATATTTTGTGGTGTTTCTATGCATATCATAGCTATGACACACGCGAACTAATGGGATCTCAGGTACGTATACTTAAATCTCAACTGTGACTCACATTTTCGGACTTAATTAATACTTATAGCCTGTTTTTAGTGAGATAGATTCTATTCTGGAAAATATTGGCTTGATACTCTGAAACTTACATAGTAGATTCAGCAAGTCATTGACAGATCGAATGAGAAATAGTGTATTTTTGTTTTCCGGTTTAGATGAATGCCGGCGGTCACCATTATTCCTGAAGACCTGATGGAGACTTGTTAATACTTACTGGTTGATGGTTATTGCCCCTATTATAAAGTAAATGATGACAGACCAGTACGTGTTGTGTATTCATATATTACTTTGAAATGATAAATGTATACACTAGAAAAATACAAGATAATACTACTTATCAAAGTGCAGATGTAGGTAAAAGGGCTATGCAATCACGACCGCTATAATTAGACCTTCGCATTCCGGAGGTGGTGTAAACGTGCTTCATGACCAGTAAACGAACCATGACGGCATAATTAGACTTTCGCATTCCGGAGGTGGTGTAAACGTGATTTTTTCTGTTACAATTTCTTCAAACATATTGATAAGAGTTGCTAAAGTAGAAGTGTCCTTGATATTTTTAATTCTAGTTGTCTATACAATGAACATAGTAAAGACGTCAATAACATATCTTTTAGTGAAATCGAAGGACTTTGCAAGGACTTTGTGACTTGTTTTGATAAGCTCAGCTGCATATTAAAGCAGAAACGAGAGCACCACGAGACAGAACAATACTAGGCCTTACCATGCCAAAGAGAAATACATCATTGTATAGAAATGAATACAAATAAAGAAATGTGACAACAATCATTTGAGATAATTGTAGTGAGAAAGCAACATTTCACGTTGTTGAACAACACAATGTTGACAAGGTTAAGACAGAAGAGGTCAAGTGACAATATATCAAACTCGTCAATTTTAAATGTCTTAGGAGATTAGGGGGCGGGAGGGGTCATTGCTATATGATTTAAAGATAAAGAACACCGAGTATGGATGTAGATTTAAAGAAGAAAATTGCGGGACGCAAGAAGATTGTTCAAAAATGAACATGAACAAAAGACAATACTGACGATCAGGAAAATACAACTCATAAATTCCCCGAATTCGATGGTGAAAAAGTGAGATATGAGATCTCCTGACAAGGTTAAAATACAGAAGAAAACAAAGGAAATTAATATAAGTGATCTGTGGACAAAATCTAGATAATGGAAAGTTAAAGGGTAGTGACTATCCTAAAACAGTCGAATAAAATTGTTGTTCAGAAATTAAAGTTCACTACTGACAGAAAATGACATAATAAGAACTTTTAACAAGTCGGCTAAGAGGACACTGTTTCCATAGTTATTCCAATAGTTACGATAAGACCTCGCCATCTGACTCGATGATGATATTACCCTCTTGCAAATATATCATTCTTACGATTTCGCTTGCTATACTTATCCTCTTTGCTTAAAATGTATAGTTCAAAATCTTATGTTTGTACTGCAAACACATAACATTCATAGCAAGGTTTTCACAGGGTATTTGTTGCTGTCTTCTATTATATATAATCAGCTTAAAATATTTCAGATCTAAACTGTATTTGTATGTATATAAATCATATGATAGAGAGTTCCATTATAAGCAGTATATTACTTTTCACTGCTAAGGAATTACAGATGATAGATGTACATTATGTTAAGTAGCCTTTAAAAGATCATATGTTGAGAGAGTGTCACATCTTAAACAAATTTGAATGGGCGATCAAAGAAGAGAAAGTTAGTCACTAAACAACTAAAACTGGCCACAAATCATGGTTATGTTTAAACTCAATCAAGGAAATGAAATGTGTATGCACCTTTCTAAAAAGGCTTATCTTCCTTTTTCAGTTATAATACGAGGAATTCCGAATCAGCAGATTCCGGGCGCGGGTGGACGAGGTACTCCTTTCCGGGGATTTATAATACAGGCTAGGACGCCTTCCGGTGGGACCCGAGCATGGGGTCGATTTATTCCCCAGCAATCACGTGATTTTAAGACCATCGCATGTCAAAATGGACCGACACTCACCCACACTATAAATAGTGACAAACAGGAAGTCAGGTTTAACTGGATACCGGAACCAGGCATGCGCGAACAAGTACAGTTTGTGTAAGTTTTTAATGACAAATTCAGTATTCTTTACTGTTATTACGTATTTGTAGGTTGAGCTTATTTTTGTAATGCTATCATTCTTTTTTCTTTTAGTATTTTCTTAATGTCACAAGTAATGGAATTTTTGAAATTTTGTTAAAAATTGTATTTACAGATTGTCGAGAGTACACGTGCAACATATGGGAAAAGACATAAGTAATTTTGTAAAAACAATTCATGAAAGGTAGTAATAATTTAATTGTTATTTTACAGGGCCACTATTGTACAGAACTTGAGGACAATTTATCCCTTAGTATACTCAGATATCGCAAAGCCTACCAGTAAGTACTGCTTTACTTGCCATATTCTCAAGGTCTAATAAATATTTTCAAATTACTGTTCGCAACACAATAAATGTAGGCGGCATTTCGAGATGTTAATTTATCGAAGGTTTTATCATTAAAACACGACACAGTCTTAATCAAGTTTTGTAAACATTTTTAAATATGGAATTGATTGTTCCGCCATACAAAATGAGTCAAACAAATGGAAATTTAATTATATCTAATTGATATTACCAAATGCCGTCAACAGATTTGTTGTTGGCTATTCGAATGTATATCAAATATTGTTCAAAAGACACTGAAGTGAATTGCACCTTTTTTAAAAACAAAAATAAGAAATATACACAATAGTGTCAAGTATTAAACTGCAGCATACAGCTCGGACTCATCAGTAATATCAATGACCTAATTTTCAAATTTTTTCAGGAAATCCAAATTGATCGCATAGAAAATAAATGTGAAAATCGATGACGTTTGCTGCGTGGTTTTAATAAACACGATTATGTAGAAACTTAGAACGGAGAAAGTAATCGTTATTGAAGTCATTGTTTTATAACCAAACAATACAATGATCAATTGTACTGTAATCAACCATGTTCAGTCAATAGCAAGAGGCATAATGATACAGTACAGAGTGAATAATCAACCGATGGATTGTGCGAATAAAACATAGGTTGAAAAATCAACAGGAAAATACAAGTAATATAAGTAGTATTAACAATTAAGATAAACATTCCAGTTCATTGCATATAGCTATATTATTCAACTAAATTGTATACAATTACATAACATTATGTCAGTTTTTAAGATCTTAATTTAATTTTTTTTTTAAAAATCTACAAAAGAAACTTCGACTGTATATTTCTGTGATAGATACAAGAATATGATATAGCTTACACAGTGAACCGCTGAATTGTTCTTGTTGTTTTTATGTCCCAAATCTAACATCCTATGTTTTTTCTTGACAGCGCGAACCGGAGGTAAAGTATCAAGTTTCTTTAAAACTGTTATTGAACTGAATAAGGCTGTTAACACATGATATGATTTGTTATTGAACTTTACAATTTGCTTGATCGATTTTAACACGAAGTCAAAAAGACGTGTCCTATATATTGCTTTTTAGTTTAACATTTTTACAGCGATACATTAAGGGACATATTGGTAAAGGCCATTTATTATGTTTTCGCATGCATGTGCATGATCATTCACATTTAACGAATGATATCCGCATTTAAATTAGCTCGTTCATAGATTTGATGGTAATGATGCTGAAATCTAAAACAGTTACGATGGAGTCTAACGTAAACTCACCTTGTGAATCACCAACCTCGAGTTATCCGATCATTGGACGTCTATATCTCCTCTATTCTGTGTTAGATGTTTGAAAATTGAGAAATCGAATAATTAACGTTTTGTAAAATAAAGCGTATGCGAAAAATGAATCTTTGTAATTTTACATAATTGAGAAACAACACAATGAATCCAGCCTCTTGATTTAAAAGATTCGTTGGTAGGCTATGCTTTGATGTAAGAGGATACACTGTCTGTATGCTGACTAGGCACCTGCAATTTTACACTCTTAATTATTATTCAGCTCGAAATACACGGGGGATAAAGACTGTATATTCGCGTGGCAGAGTAGAAGATCTTGTTACGAATGTAAAGCTTCTTGATTTATTTTTGTATTAACGGCAAACGTTCCGTACGACAAGATTATTCGTGATATTGACGTAACGGCATTCTAGTTACTGAGATTAAGGTCAAGTAAATCTGAAATACGAACTGAAATAGAAATATGGGTTTTTCAATTTACCATAATGGAGATATTTATACAAAAGAATGTGTTTTTAATTAACGCTTCCACAAAACTTTCGTCAGCCAGAGCAATTCAAACCCAAAAAGACTGACAACATACCGTTTATCTACCATTTTGTGATATTTGTGTTGGTATAGTAGCATGTTCAGAGTCTGAAGTTTGTTTTTTTGTAACACAATGAACTAACAAAACCAACTAAAGAACGGATTGCTGTTCAAAGTCATTTATCAATGGCATGTAAAAATAATTGTGACAAAAATATGATCACAATTTTCTATTGTCAAATATAAGCGTGCTATTGGGTCATTGCACATAAATTCAGTATGATTTGCTTCTCATTTTATGTAACAAAAATATTGGGGTACAAATTATAATCACTAATGATGAAAGTCATCTGAAGACAAACAAAGTGAATGATCAGCCGGTAAATGTTCTTTATCACTCTATCCAAGGCTCAGAGCAAGTTCTTATAGCACAACCAGTAGAATATTAGAGTGTGACGTTTAGATGACTAAACGGTCACCTTTATCTAACAAGACAACCAGTACAACATGAAAATGTGACGTTTCGATGACTACAGGTCACCTTCATCTTACAAGACAACCAACAGTACATTAGAGTGTGACGTTTCGATGACCTCATGGTTACCTTCATCAGAAAAATGACCAGTGTGGAGCGTACTAGCACCGATATTTCGGAGTGTCTTGTGAGGTTTCATTACAGCTGCAATTCCATGACCACAGTAAATGGCGGTTCTTTGAGGGACGTTTACTTGGCCTTTCGTTTTGCTCTTTTCCTTTGTGTTTCGTCTCTTAGTCTTTTTGCTTACATCATATTCATTGTTAACTCTCTGGATTGCCCAATCAAGGTATCCACATGTTCTCATGGCACTGTGAATGTGGTTTTGTTCTCGTTTCTTGTCTTGTTCTGTGACAATCATTTCACATCTGTTGAGCAAGGTTCGAAGAACGCCCACTTTCTGGTGTAAGACGTGGTGCGATCGGAATTTGAGGTATTGGTCTTTTCCCTATAGACTAACACTTTGATAGTACCGTAGAAGATCGTACTACCCTGGGTCACTTTAACAAAGTTTGCTTGCCGAAATATTTGCTATCAAATTCCAATGCAAATGTCCTCTGCCAATGCCGTCATTAAAAAAAAACTATATCATGCACTAGATCATATGCGCGTTTGAAAGAGTTAATATTGCAAAGTTTCTAAACCACAGGAAAGTTGCTTCAGAAATGTATGGATTTTTCCATACGTGATATTCTTCTATCAGATTATTTATAAGTTAGCTACTTATATACTGTGGAGCAAACAGTCAATAGATGAACAATATCGTAACTTTAACAAGAGAAGGTTTGAAGTTCATCTGGAAAAAATTTTGTTTATTTATCCATTTTATGTTGTTTCATGTTTATGTATAGTCTTATATGTTAACTATGAAACTTTTGAATACTAAATAATTTACTAAAAGACTTTCCAGGCACTCAGGTTGTTTATGTTTCATCATGACCATTGTATCATGTGGCACCCGTACCCTTGGCCAATATTAGGATACGTTAAAGGGAAAGTTATCATTTCTTAGACATAGCTGCATTTGAAATACAGTGTACATTAAGATATGAATACTTATTAACGGTTAGCCTGTAAGAGTTACGATAATCAGTTTGTCCGCAAATTCTGACCCCACATGTATACTATTCACACGCATTAACATAAATAACAAACAGTCATAATAATCATTTTAGATCAGATATCTTCTGACCGCAAATGTATACCGTTAAATAAGAAATGTGATCACATAATAGTCAACAGACCATTCATCACTCCACATGCAGCTGTGAGAGAGGAGAGAGATCAATACAATAAATATTTGTTGATAATTATCATATAGGATATTTATAAAAGATAATTAACCTACTATGTAAAGTTTCGTTTTTTCACGCAATGCGAAAATGTCACAATTCCAATAGATAATTTCCTTTTAAATTATCAATTAAGTATTTAACAGTGTTTGGAAAGTGTACATAGAATTATAGTGCAGTCTGAAAAGTCAATTGCTAACTATATCGAACGCTCCGTACGTCATTGCTAGTAAGCTAGTAAGTGTGTTGTTAGAAATTATAATTACATAACAAACCCGGGGGAAATGTTCTTAAATTAATCATCATATTTACAATGGTTGTTACCATTTACACCTCAACAAACACATAGTCAACCACACAACATAGTAAGAATGACTAAAATGATGTTGTCCAAACATAATCAAACAGGTTCCTTCCACACTTAAACCCCCCGCGCGCTTCCATTCAAGCCAACAACAGTGATTAAAATAAGCCGGAAAAAACGTGTGTCGCAATTTATGTAAAATAAATAAAGTTTAATATTTATCATAATCATCTTTTTTAGAAGGAGATCCAAAGTTGTTAAATTTATTTCGTCTAACTTTCCTCCTTCCCCTCGATCGAAAAGAGGCAAAGTGTTAAAATTTTTAAAAGTCTTCTTTAGTTCTATATATGACACATTTTATTGTAGTTCATATTGAACTAGTAAACGCACATTTCATTCACATTTAGGAGTACTTCAGATTTTATTCTGTATATTACTGACCTTTGCAGTTGTGATTCTATGGTAGGAAAGTCTTCGCCTCCAAGTGTGTTAGTAAACTGGCCCCACAGGAGTATTTTTGTTTCTTATTACTCGTCCCCTCTCATTTATATGTAGAAAAGGTCAGGTTTTGAATTTTGAATGACCTTTTCAAAAAGTTTAAAAGATCAAAAGTTACTATCACCCACCAGTAGAAGATTTAAGGGTGACGTTTTGATGACTACACTGTCGCCATCAGATAAATGACCAGTGTCACTGACGTATGTAATGTTCGAGATTGTAAGGTTTTTGAGTGATTTATCCTTAAGATGAACTAGAACACTAGTGCGTTTTGTGAAGTTACATGTCTGTTGTAATACCATGACCATGGTAAATGGTTTTTGCCAGGCCATTGTTGTAAAAGACAACTATATGTCCTTTCGGTCAGTTCTTTTCCTTGGAGTTTCGTTTCTTGGTCTTTTCTGTCTTTCCCCCACATGCGTTGTTAACTTTCGTGATTTCCCGATCAGAATATCCACGTTTTCCTGTAGCTATGGCTTTGTTTTTGTTCTATGCTCTTGTCTTGTTCTTCTGTTCTTCCAACTTCTGGTGTTAGGGGTGGTGCGATTGAATTTTCAGGTATTGGTCCGTGTGCATCTTTATCGATAGACCAATACTTTGATAGTACCACCAACCTTTTTTCAGGAGGATGTCAAGGGATGGAATATGGCCATCGACTTCAGTCGTCAGGGTTGAATTAAGTGCTGTTGGTTGTGTCGACGATTTTTATATGTGTAGTCAAATGCGCGACCTTTGCCCCTTTCCTGAATAATTCCATTACGTAATCATCATTCCATTTCACAGATTAGTCTTGTATTCTTCTGGGACCGTGGCTTCAGCCTCTTTCAACGAGTGATTCATGAATAAATTGGCCAGAAAGGGAGACAATGAGTTGCCTTTGGCAAACCGTTGCTGATAGATAGTATCTTGGAATCCAAAATATTTATAGGAAACCATAATGTCTTGGATATGAAAATTGGTATTCTTTTGTCACGATTGGTCTTCCTGTAAGTGGCTTGGAATACCACCAAGTGTTTTGTCAGTGAGTGTGTTGGTGTAAAGAGATTGGTCTTCCTGTAAGTGGCTTGGAATACCACCAAGTGTTTTGTCAGTGAGTGTGTTAGTGTAAAGAGACACTATATCATGTTAAACGAAATCCTGACAGTATATAGCTACCGTGGACATACTTTCTACAAAGTCTTTTGGGTTTTAAACGTGATACTATAATTTCTTCACCATGAGTTCTAAAATGTCTGCTAGTGACTTGAAGACATTGTAACCAATGGAATCAGTATCGTCAACTTTAAATGTTACCTAAGAGGATGTTAAAGATACATTATGTGGTTATGTTTTTCATACGTCATCCATCCTATATAGAAGACATTTTCAACTTCTCAAAAACTCCTTTTCCTTGTCCGAAATAATAAATGGTGAACAGGACTCCAATTCGAAATAATTCAAACTTGCTTAGAATGATTAGTATACGTTAGTATTAGATTGAACTAATGGATAAGGTAATGATGGGCGTGGCCAATCACTAAGTTTTGAAATCTTCCTCTGAAGACCCAAACATAGAAAATTAATATGTTCTCCATGAATTGAAATTATGAACGTCATTACCCTCATAATTTAACATTAAGGAGTTTCATTTTTACAAAGCATAACTAAGAAAATAACATTTCGGGTTGCGATTTGGTTTTTTTTCCCATAGATGGCTGTTTTATATTTATCTTGACTGAATACCGGGACCAGTTAAGTGAAATAAAAGTGGGGTCGAATTGACTATTCTTTTAAAAGTTTAGAATGATTTTCCAAAAATGTTGATTAATGTACCTAAAGAATTTCTCAGTGAATTGAGTTTTTTAACATTAAAATAATTCTGAAGGAGGGCGACTCATAGAGCCTGTACTTCTCACCTACATATTGGATTTTCAGTTCAGTGTATCTTTATTCACTGATTTCAAACTCTATCCTGTTTTCCTTATTGGGCTATGTTCTGTCTACCGTTAATTTACATAGAATTGAGAGGAGGTGGGATGGGTTCAGAATCATCGTTTATACAAAATTAAACTCCCTTAATTCCGAGGATTGCTTCATATCAAATTTAGACAAAATACATGCCTTTGAGGCCGAGACTGACCGTTCAGTCAAACTTGTTTCCCCCTTTATGATTTTGACCAAAATCTTTCAATCTTTCATGTCAAACAGCGTTTTTTTTTTTGTGAATGACATGATAGACGAAGGCGACGGCCACCGCGCAGGTTTATCAGTTGAGGCAAAAATCAATCTTTTGTATTAGTAAAGGACTACAGATTGAGGATTTGTTGACACTGACAGACTACTAAGGGGCAATAATGGACTAAGCCAAAATGGGGCAATATTGGCTGAATGGTTTTATACCTATTACGGGTATTACCAAAACAGCTATTTACATCGCCCAAGGGGATCACAATACCCCTTCGGAAGGAGTAAAGTACATTTTAGAGCATAGTTTGCTCATTTTCACTTCAGTTTGGCTTCGCAACATTAGGGTATTTTAAAGACGGTCTCTCTGTTCGTATGCTGTTTGTATGTGTCAAGTGCATGTTTTTTGAAGGCTATGATATTTGTGCAAGCCTCCATGTTATAGTGGCAGTGTAGAACTGAAGCCAACTTTATAGTGCCACCACACTGAAGCATACTGCCAAAGATGATCGTTAAGGCCCTTGGGTATTTTTTATAGATAAAGTACGTGTAAATACAATATTTAGTTTTAACTCTCACGTCCTGATATTTGTGTGTATATAATGGAACAATTGTCCATATCTTATTTCAAGCATAATGCCTCTAATAACAATAGGTTGTCATGGTGCCATATTAAAAGCATGAGTAAGCATACCTTTAATGCATCTGAAATGTCTAACCCTGTCTTGTGGAAACGCTTACGTTTGTAAAACATTTTGCTTAACGCTTGCTTATGTGTGCTGACGTCATAGATTCAAGTGCGGTCCCCAGCCCTTCCCTGACCACACCTGTTCTCACGAGGTCCACCACCACCGGCTGTAAGTACACAATCAATGGAAGCATGGTTATGACGCTTCAGCTCTTATTAACGATGTTTTATGGCATTTCAACCGGACAATCTAGCTTAATGTTGTCGGTTAGGCAGTGATAATATACTTGCTGCTAAAATGATTCATAAATTGATTGTCTGACAGTATGGTTCACAAGACTTTATTTTTTGAGAAACATTTTTCAATACAATATAATCCTGTTTATCCTGATTTATTGTTACAGTGTTTTTGATTTTGCGTTAGAGATGGTGTATTACACGTAACATATTTTTGATACCACATTTAAAATAACAAATATACAATGTTATTATTGATGTTTCGAAATGTTAATACAAAACAGTTTTGTCATGGTAAAGCAATTGTCCATTTGCTTTGACTATAATGAAATTGTTTTCACAAAATTATACATGGCTCTTAATTTTGATAGTTCAATGGTGTATCACTCTTTGATAATCATTATAACGATATTTGTTATTATTGTTGTATGCTTGGAGACAACGGATGCTATTGGCAATATTTTTATTACGAAAATATTAAGAAGAAATTTAAACACATCAAGTATTAATGAAGTGTGATTTTTACCTACAACATTTGTGCAAACCTAGATACGGTCGAACCTCGTTATCTCAAGCTCGCATTACTCGAAGACCCCGTTTAATTCGAATGATTTCGTCTGTCCCTGCCTAATTTTAAACAAAATATCTCGAAGTTATCCATGAATTCGAGGTTCGACTGTATTGGATGTACATCGAGTGCCTTTTTCCAGAATGAAGGAGTGTGATATATGATACAGCTACCTAAACTTAAGGATGCTTCGTAATAACATGTATATTTTTGTAGGTAATGACGATATTTGTATTATGTTTCAGCCTTGATTAGCAGTGGTACAACGACAAAAGCAGGACTCAGCATGATATTGGCTTCTTTCGTGATGACATTATTGTAATGTTTAAATCTAATCGATTGCTGTTTAATGCATTATCGCTGTAACATGGTGTCCTCTACCATACCGATGTATTTGCTCTATAATTTACTTATAGAGATTTGACATTTCACTCAGAATAGATTTATATATTTTAATTAGTGCTACAGAACAAACATGGAAGAAAAAGTAAGATATTTAAAGACTCTCTGAACTTAGCCATCCGATCAACTCATAATGTACATCGGTGTCATCATAAATAGCTATGCATTCATTTCAGAATATTTTATTGATAAAAATAATCAATAGGATTAGACAACAGTCTAGAGCCTACATAAGTCTTCTCCCCAAAACCTCTTTGCATATTTAGGTATAACCCATATCTTCATTGTTCTTAAGAAGGAGCGTTTGGAAATATCAGTTTAAGTAAGCTTCAAAGAAAATAATGAAAATACTCATTAGATAAACATTTTGAAGAGAATTAAAGTAATAGTACCTTGTTGTTTTATAGGGTATATACTAAGTGTTACTAAGTATAATCTGGTCTAGATAAACAGGTAAACAAGGAACTTGTGAATTGATTGTCGATTATTCTTTATAGACATGTGTATTTGATGTAAGTAATGTTTACAACAAGTTGTCGGTATTTACCTTATAGTTGCTGCTATTTACAAAGAATCACTGATATTTCAGGGTTATGGTCATTATCGTGTTGGCAATATTTGACTTTGTTTTGTATTAGTGTATCTCAATGTAACCCATTCAATGTCTTTCAACAGCGTTCAAAGTAATCGTATGAAACATATGTTTTCTAATTACTTTTAACAAGCCTTGTGAGCTTTGTTAACATACTCTTAAGCTGAATCCATTTAACGCGACAGGTTTTCCCAATATAGTCGTCCGATGTTGAGGAATCATGAATGTCAGGTCGGCAAAATTTCTTAAATTCAAATTCCATTCTGATAATGATTATTTGAAAAGTTGGCTTCTTGGAAGTAATTGAATTACACAAAATAACAGTTGCTCTCTTCGTTACGGGCAGCAGAATGTTGATTTTCACCAGCTGATATATCTTTTTTTCAGTAAATATCTTCTTAATGTGAAAATATTAAACGATGATTTTGTTTATGTGTTCCTTACTATAACAACCACAATAATCAGCTTTGAGGTATCATTCATGGTCATGATTTTGGGTAAATTTTGTAAAGTTCCATTCAAAGACTTTCAGGTTTTATATTCAAGAGATTTCACCTCAACAACGAAAGAAAATAATTTTTACTGACAATCATGACATTGAAACTGCTAACGATGATGATCGAATCACGACGTGAGCCGCACCTTCGAAAAAGTAGTCCAAACTCGAAAATTCTAGTCGTGCACATACTGTCATATGGAAATCTCGTCTTTAGCTTTTGAGTAAACTTTTGATATTAATTGATATGAAAAAGCAATAGTCTAAGATTTACTTGATATTGAAGTATGCACTGCTTTCGGTCAAAACTGATGTCCATACATCTGAAAATGACGTAAAAATAATCCAAGACCTAGCAATCCAAGGTTTTCTATATGGCATCAATGGATATACCTAAGGAGTTCCGAAAGACTGCATTAGTACTTTGATACTGTCACTAGTACATTTTAGTACTGTTGTGATGTTAATATATGACAAAACAGGGACCTAGGATGAAGGCCAGTGTCACCGTTACTATATTTAGAAAATCATTATCAGCGTTCGTAGCGGCTTCATTCACTTGGAGATTTCGATCAAACTTCACAAATGCTCATTACATTTCGGACGAGTTCTAATTCCAATAGTAAAGTGTAAATTTCAAGTTTACCGATACTTCTTTTGAAATTCTTGTTAGCACTCTATCGGCTTCAATCCTTGGAAAATTTCAATCAATCCCCGAAAAATCATAACGGCCCATTACGTGTTTGACGAATTTCAGAGCTTCAGAGTTAAGGCCACCGTTTCTATTTTCAGAAAATCATTGATAGCACTCTCGCAACTGTAGTTTTTTTAGGTATTTTCATCCAACTTCACAACGCTCATAAAGGACAATCATATTTCAAACACTTTTAGTTGCAGGGTTACCATGTCAAACGTTTTAGCATCTTCATTTTTTCTGAAATCATTATTGAACGTCTCCTACTAACTAATGACTAAACTATCAGTAACAGGTTTGAGGATTGTAATGTCAAGGTCAACGTAACTGGTTTAAGAATATCCTTGTCAACAAAGTGGTGGCCTCATTCCCTAAGGTATAACGGTATACGGTGTAACCAACGGGGGATTTGTTTTACTTATAATGCCTTGTTATCTATATAGAGCACACTGTACGCTTCCTTAGAAATCTAAGAAAAAGTCCAAATTACGCAATTATAATTTGACAATCATTCATATCCTACTTGTTTAAACAAAATACATATACATATATTTGAATTTCCACTCATTGTTGAATTCTTTGTTTTCAGTTCTGATAATTCTTCATCATAATGGGACAACCTAAACTGTTTAATGTATGTATGATAAATGTAACGTATATATCTTATACAGTCGAACCTCATCATATAACTCGAAGACCCCGTTTAATTCGAAGCATTTCGTCGGTCCTTGCCTAACTTTACACTAAACGTTCGAACTCACTTTAATGGAATACGCGGTTATCTCGAGGTCCCCATGGCCCCGCCGAGTTCGAGATAACGAGGTTCGATTGTTAAAAACAAAGATATTTATTATTGTACATTATTTGTATTTAGTACATCAACATGTTGACAACACAATCATCAAGCCGGCGTCTAATAAACCGGGATATTGTTTAATTTCTGTTTTATTTTCTTGTCATTTGCGCATTAGGAAAGCATGCATTTTTAAAATTATATTTAAATCATTTTTGTTAATAATTTCCCCTTTTTCCTTGACAGTTAATCAAGATTTATATTTCATGAAAGCAGGATTTGTTTGTACTTTCCAGCTTCTATTTTCTATCTTTTTAAACTTGTATATGGGCAGCTACGATGCCAAATATCTCAACAGAACGTTCTCTAAACCTTTTTTGTGGAAGAAGGGATTTTAAAAGATCTTTGTAAGCTTGTACTTGTACTATGTAAATAAACAATTACACACATTAAATTACACTGTGGCTGGTATTTTTACTCACCTTTCAATACAATGAATAAATTATACAGCTGTTTCGTCTGTTCAGGATTTTGAAATCTTTCAAGCGACTGTCATAACAAAACATATATTATCATATTATCAATATTTTATATTGCGTTTATTGATAACAAACTACATGTAATTTTCTCACATTACGCAAAATTTCCCTAATTCAGTCGCATCACTTGAGAGTCGAACGAAGTAGAAAACTATTAAGGTAAGATATGCTCGTTACTGTAGCTCTCCATTTCTAGATAATAACATCCCTGCTTCCTTAAAGCATCGCGTTCAAATATCACAGTTGGCTCGATATTCAAATTCACGATTTAAAGTATTCTGAAATACCAGTTTGACAGATGTTCAGGATGATGTACATGATGATGTGCAGGATGATGTGCAGGCTATGTGAGGATGATGTACATGATGATGTGCAGGTTGATGTGCAGGCTGATGTGTAGGCTGGTATGCCGGCTGATGCGCAGGCTGATGTGCAGGCTTTGTACAGACTATGTGTAGGTGCATGTACAGACTGATGTACAGACTGATGTGCAGGCTGATGTACAGGCTATGTGTAGGATGCTATACAGACTGATGTACAGGCTGGTATGCAGGCTGATGTGCAGGCTTTGTACAGGCTGGTGCGCAGGCTTTGTACAGGCTATGTGTAGGATGATGTACAGACTGATGTATAGGCTGATGTACAGGCTGGTGTACAGTCTTGTGTACAGGCTGGTGTACAGGCTGGTGTGCAGGCTGATGTGCAGGCTGATGTACAGGTTATGTGTAGGCTGGTATGCCGGCTGATGCGCAGGCTGATGTGCAGGCTGATGTACAGGCTGGTGCGCAGTCTTATGTACAGGCTATGTGTAGGATGATGTACAGACTGATGTACAGGCTGGTGCGCAGGCTTGTGTGCAGTCTGATGTGCAGTCTGATGTACAGGCTGGTGTACAGGCTGATGTACAGACTGATGTACAGGCTATGTGTAGGATGATGTACAGACTGATGTACAGGCTGGTGCGCAGGCTTGTGTGCAGTCTGATGTGCAGTCTGATGTACGGGCTGGTGTACAGGCTGGTGCGCAGGCTTGTGTGCAGTCTGACGTATAGGCTGACGTACAGTCTGATGTACAGGCTGGTATGCAGGCTGATGTGCAGGCTTTGTACAGGCTGGTGCGCAGGCTTTGTACAGGCTATGTGTAGGATGATGTACAGACTGATGTATAGGCTGATGTACAGGCTGGTGTACAGTCTTGTGTACAGGCTGGTGTACAGGCTGGTGTGCAGGCTGATGTGCAGGCTGATGTACAGGTTATGTGTAGGCTGGTATGCCGGCTGATGCGCAGGCTGATGTGCAGGCTGATGTACAGGCTGGTGCGCAGTCTTATGTACAGGCTATGTGTAGGATGATGTACAGACTGATGTACAGGCTGGTGCGCAGGCTTGTGTGCAGTCTGATGTGCAGTCTGATGTACAGGCTGGTGTACAGGCTGATGTACAGACTGATGTACAGGCTATGTGTAGGATGATGTACAGACTGATGTACAGGCTGGTGCGCAGGCTTGTGTGCAGTCTGATGTGCAGTCTGATGTACGGGCTGGTGTACAGGCTGGTGCGCAGGCTTGTGTGCAGTCTGACGTATAGGCTGACGTACAGTCTGATGTACAGGCTGGTGTGCAGGCTGGTGTGAAGTCTGACGTACAGACTGACGTACAAGCTGGTGTGTAGGCTGTTGTGCAGTCTGATGTACAGGCTGGTGTGCAGGCCATGTGCAGTCTGGTATGCAGGCCGATGTGTAGGCTATGTGAGGATGATGTGCAGGATGAGGTACAGGCTGGTATGTAGGCTGGTATTCAGGATGACGA